TAATCAAACTGGCCTAAGCACAGCCTAATTATTTATTTATGATGAAAAATAGAACTTCGAACTTTCAATTTTTTGTACTAGATACAATCTACTGTATTTAATTTATTAGAAATTGTGTTTGATACAAAATACTGTATAATTGCTACCCAACTACAATATATTTAGACTAAGTTAAAGCCATTTTGTATATACAGTATGTTTAGAGGCTAGTTGGACCAGGGACGTGAGAATTCTGTGATTTACAAGAAGATTAAGGAATCATTATTTATAAACTTTACTGTATAAATAATGATTTCTTAATCTTCCTGTAAATCACAGAATCCCCACATTTCTGGGTTGGACTGACCCAAACACAGCCCGATTATTATGAAAAATAGGACTTCGAACTTTTAATTTTATACCAGGCACAATCTATCTAATTGTGCCGATGCAAAATATACTATAATTAGCTATTCAAACTAAACTAGTTTAAGACTAAAGCCAAATGATTGTTTGGCCGATTTAGTTAAGTTAGTGATTTTCAAAAATAATATTGCATTATGACCAATTATTATAATAATAATGTCGATGTTATTAAAATTTTATCTGAATGCTTGCTCAATATGCTTGGTGTGTTTAATTTGTGTGAAAGTTTATGGAAAAGACCGTTCTTGTTAACCAATAAACTTGACAAGAAATATAAAAAAGGCTTCAGATATCAAATTAGCTTTTATAATAAATATATTACACGAATAGGTGCTAATATTAAAAAAGTTAGCTAATATTAGAAAAGTTAAATATGATCAAGAAGTTGTCAATTGGACTAAAAATTCAACTAAAGTCGAGATTCCAAAAAATCAAAACTTAATTAATATTTGCCAAAAATACATTAAAAATTATGATCAACAAAATTAAAGCGAAAAAACAATTAAAGATTCTCTAGAATTTTATCGTCTATACCAAATACTTTTAAGTTATCTGATTTCTGAAGTGACTGCGACTGATTTAGAATTAATAGTAAAAAAATCCTAAATTGAGTATTACTGTATTAATATGAAAAAACCCAAATCAGAAGCTATTAATACAAAAGAACCTTTTATAAAGTAAAAATACTGTGCATATATCCAAGTCAGTATATAGCCCTCTAAATTTTTTGTAAGACTAATGTTATATCCCAACCAAAATTCTATCTTGAATTGTAATTCAAACAAGTATTAGTCAGGTTTTTCTTTCATTAAAACTTTAATTTATACTGTATTATTCATGTTTAAAGAACATGGTTTTCCTGAAGGTGATGGAAGTTTTTCAATACAACCATATCTTTGAAAATATACAAGAACCCGACTTATAGAAGATGTGCTAACACCTAAGTGTTTTGTAATTTTTTGAGTTGATAGGCCTTCTAAATTTTTTTCAATAATTTGCTAGTGAATATGGTTTGAAAGTATCATTTTTTGAATTCATGTACATAATTTTATATTTATATTAGCCACCTGATTTTAAATTACATATACGTATTACATCAATTTTTATTGAATTTATTATGCTGAAAAAATGATTCGGCCAAAAATCAATCGGCTAATTTTTTATCAGGTGTCCCAGGAATAATGAAAACAGCTGTAATTCTTAGGAGTATTATCAGCTTTATTTAGCCTGTATATTTAACTATTATAAAAGCCAATTAATAAGAGAGCCAAGTAAGCTGATAATATATAATTTAGCAGTAGCGAAATAAATTATGTTAAAGTGCAAATAATGGTGACATTTTAATTGTAATCGTGATTAACTTAGTTAGAGATACAAAACAAATGTCTTGAATGTTGAAAAGGAAGACTTAGTTGCTCTTAAAACACTTAAGGCTTTAGCAAAAATATCCACATATCTCTCTGCATGCTTTTTATCTACTTTGAGCTCCTCTTTACTTTGTAAATTATACTTTAATTTTGTTGCATTTTTTGAATATAATATATTTATATTAAAATGATACTTCATAATTTTTCAAAGCCATTTACATTACTCTTAGTCAACATGACTTGGCCTGAAAACTTAAGCGAGCGAAGAGTTTTGTGAAATAAATTATATAAAGTACAAAATAAATTATATGTTAATGTGTTAAGTATAAAATAAATCAAATACTGTATGTAGCATTTTTATAATTTGGACTTTAGCAAAAATTGAAATTTGACTATTATAAAAACAGATTAATAAGAGAGCCAAATGAGCTAATAATATAGAATTTAGCAGTACAGTATGTTTAAGTGCGAAATAAATTATATATTTAAAGTGTGAAATAAATTATACGTTAAAGTGCGAAATAAATTGTATGTTAAGTGTGAAATAAATCAAATACTGTATTAGTAGTATAGTATGTATTTTTATATCATTTTTAAGTTACAGAATCGAATTTGCTTTACTAGAAAGTTATACCATTTTAATAGTATTATTATTTAATCGAATTATTGAGACCTACTAAAATTAATCAATGTTCTTTATACCCAAAAGGTGTTTTCAAGCACCTCACTTAATGGATCGGAAGTAAATTTTTTAATTAGTCAAAATTGAATAAATTAACCAAATGAGCTACTATATGAACAAATCAGAGAGGCAAACCCTACCTTTTTTTTTCAAAACTTTACCATTAATAAAGGTCGCTCAAGCATTGCTTTTACATCTTTTACATATTAAACATATAAACAATTAATTCTCAACAAATTTCTAACTGGTCTAAGGCTATTTTCAAGCATCTAAATCAATTGATCAGATAATAATCATGATGATGCTCAAGCATCACAATTGATGAATTAAATGCTTGAGCATGGTTTTCATAATGTTCACTATACGTACTACCTAAAAACCTTATGAAATAAATTTCTTTTCGATCAACTGTTAAAGGTTCAACTTTAGTTACATCAGCTTCTTCTTTAATGATTTTTAACAATTTAAATTTCTTTATTATATAGAAAAAATCCACCTAAACCTTTCAGTTTTAGGTCTTCTTTACTGAGAAGATTTTAAATTTAAATGAGTAAAAAATAGAATAACAGTATTCATTATGGTTTAAAAGATTGCTGTATTTATTATACTCATATTAAAGTATCGATTAGTTGTTTAAAAGCTTCAAACATTAAATATGTAAAAAATGTAAAAGTAATACTTGAACGACCTTTATCAATTGTAAATTTTTGAAGGAAAGGGTGTTCTCAAGCACTTTACTCAATGGATCGGGAGTCAATTTTTAATTAGCCAAAATTGAATAAGGGCGTTCTCAAGCACTCACCTCAATGAATTCAATAAAAATCTGATTGGCTAGTTTGATTAAACTGACCAATCGGATTCGTTATTGGGCCCATTTAGTTATATAGGTGCTTGAGAACAACCTAAATTAACCAAGTGAGTCACTATTTCGATGAACAAATCAGTAAGACACAACCCACCTTGATAAGGTTACTTAAGTATTACTTTTATATTTTATATATCAAACATAATAAATAATTAATTCTCAACAAATTTCTAACCGGTCTAAAAAAATACTACTTTTTTTTAATGTTCGAAGCTTTTAAAACAAATAATCGATACATTAATATGAGTGTAATAAGTATAGTAATCTTTTAACATTCAACCAAACCATAATAAATATGTACTACTATTTTTATTTTTCACTCATTTAAATTTACTACATATCTTCCCAGCAAAGAAGATCTAAAACCAAAATGTTTGGGTAGATGTTTTTCCATATAATAAAGAAATTTAAATTGTTAAAAATCATTAAAAGGAGAAGCTGATATAACTAAAGTTGAACCTTTAACAGTTGATCGAAAAGAAATTTATTTCATAAGGTTTTTAGGTAGTACGTATAGCAAACATTATGAAAACCAGAAAAAGTATACTCAAGCATTTAATTCATCAATTGTGATACTTGAGCATTATCATGATTATTATCTGATCAATTGATTTAGATACCTTTAGATTTTAAAAGCTTTGAACATTAAGGGTGTTCTCAGGCACCTCACTCAATGGATCAGAAGTAAATTTTTAACTAGTTGGAAATTAAATAAACTGAGTGAATTGAACAAATCAACGAGACACAAGCCATCTTTTTTCTTCAAAAATTTACTACTGATAAAGGTCACTCAAGCTTTACTTTTACATTTTTTACATATCAATTATAATAAACAATTAATTTTCACCAAATTTCTAACTGGTCTAAATATATAATATTTATACATATCAATATTTTAACTATTGAAAATATTAATTTTCTTTATCATTCTTTCAACTTCTTTTAAAATTATTAAATCAAAAATTCATAATTGAATAAAGATAGCCACTTTATTTTTAATGTTTGAAGCTTTAAAACAAATAATCGATACATTAATATGAGCGTAATAAATACAACAATCTTTTAGACCATAATGAATACTGTTATTCCATTTTTTACATTTAAATTTAAAATCTTCTCAGTAAAGAAAACCTAAAACTGAAAGGTTTGAGTAAATTTTTTCCATATTTGACAGATACATAGTAAAAAAAATCAAATCATTAAAAGGAAAAGCCGATATAACTAAAGTTGAAACTTTAATGGTTGATCGAAAAGAAATTTTAACAAAATAATAAACAAAAAAAAAAACTTATTTTCATTATACCCGTTCCACGATCTCAGATTCTTGATAGTACCCAAGACTGAAAGTTGCAAACACTAAAATAAAAAAAGAATTTATTAGTGTCGAACAAGAACAATGCCACATTGTAGAAAACATCAGTAGAAATTAAACAATAAAACAAAAAACAAGAAAAAAAACTAAAACCAAACCAGTGTGAAAAGAAATAACTACTTATCACATTATGTGCAAGTCAAATGTCGATTTCCAAACCCTTCTTTAGAAACAGGTTCATTATTGCTAAGATTTAAAGAAATCAGAGTGAAGAGCCTTAGCTGGCGCCTTTCTTCTTAGAACAAGTTAATTATAGCCAATATACAAGAAACCAAAATACTATACTGCCATATTAAAGACCCGGGTCTCTTATATTTCACATTCGGCAAACCTGGCCAGTTTAATGTATATGGTCGCGATAGTATCATCGCTCACACGACCCTAAAAATAAATACATGTATATATATATAATAAATTAGCCCTGGCGAACTCAAACTAAAGAGACTCTGGCCAGTCTAATGTATATGGTCATGATAATATCATCACTCACACACGACGCTATAATAAGTGTACTCTAGATACTACAGTACTAAATACTACAGTACTACTTACAAAAAAATGATTTTGACTAATAATGGTAAATAGAAAAAAAATTAGTATATTAAATAATTATTTTACTCTATATAACCTATATACGTACGTATAACTTACTTAAAAATAAATACAGTACTGGCCAGTCTAATGTATACAGTCGACATGACCCTAAAAATAAATAAATATATATATATATATAACAAATTAGCCCTGGCAAACTCAAACTAAAGAAACTCTGGCTAGTCTAATATATACGGTCGCAATAGTATCATTGCTTACACACGATACCATAATAAGTGTACTCTAGATACTACTTACTAAGAAATGATTTTGACTAAGATAACCCTAACCCTAAAGTTAACTCAATAAAATATTATAAAAATAGTTTGGAATTATCATGCCTGCGCTTTTCTGCTTTTCTATATTAAATAAAGTATAATAAATAAGTGAACTAAACTTATTATTATTATCTCTGTATGTTTAAGTACCTGAAGTTTTTCCATATATGTTCTTATCTAAATCATTACCGTATATTCCTGAAAATAAGCTACTTCGAAAATAAGCTACCCCCTCACTTTTGAGGCAAAAACTCAGAATCCTCTCTTACCCGAAAATAAGCTACCCCTGAATTTTTTAAAAATTTTTAACAGTTGTTATATATAAAAGTCAAAATTATACTAAGTAAATATATATTTTGACCATAATAGAAGTTGTTCATAATTTAAAAATACATATATTCTGAAAGTTTTATACAATTTGGATAACTTTTATTAGTACATTTTAGCATTTTAAATTCAAATTTAAAATGCAAAAGTGTACTAATAAAAAGTTATCAAAATTGTATGAAACTTTTAGAATATATGTATTTTTAAATTCTAAACAACTTCTATTATAGTTAAAATATATATTTATTTAGTATAATTTTGACTTTTATATATAACAACTGTTAAAAATTTTTGAAAAATTCAGGGGCTAGCTTATTTTCGGGTAAGAAAGGATTCTTAGTTTTTTGCTCAAAAGTGAGGGGATAGCTTATTTTCGAAGTAGCTTATTTTCGGGAATATATAGTAATATTTTAATTTAATTAATATAGTCTAAGGCTAAAATTTTGAGAATATATATAGGGAATTACTATTTCTACTCCTCTAATTTGTTAATGCCACTTCCATGGTCAGAACCGGCTTTCGAACTAGGTTATGCGGTCGATGACATACTAGTTTGCTAATCATCATGCATATTATTTGTAACATCTATCTTCATATAACATTTATCTTCATGTAATACATACTATATATCGCTATATACCCACTATATAACTAATTTGCAGAATTATTATTGTACTACGTAATGCTATAAATTCAATATGTAAATTTCTGGGTTTAAGATTTAAAGAATTACTCCAAAGCTATAGCTATTAGACTTATTATCCTATTTTTATGTTTGTAATTAGTATTTAAATATTTAAGTTTGGTATTTCACGAACAATGAGTTTAAATTCATAAACATTTCTATTTTTATTATTTGATTTATTCATATCGATAGTTCAAAATCTACAACTTTCAACTATATCGATGTTCCTTAATACTATAAAACTTACCAGAATACTACATAGTTACTCGCTGCAACTAAAATTTATGTGTATAATGATACCGACAATATAATAGTTATCTATAATGACATATCATCAATATATATATGCACTACATAACACAGCATTTAATTTTACTAAATCTATTAAGAGTAAATTTAATTTTGAATTCTGCCAAGAATACTTCTGCACTTAAGATCATTTTGATTAAAAATACTACATAGCGAAACCTACTTCCAGTAAATATACAGCATTAGCTGTCTTGAATAAATTTAAAAAATACAAGTATAAGTGAAAAAATCATTAAAACTCTATAAATAAGGTATTATTTGTTATTTATTATAGTGAAACTTAAACTACACTACAAAATAATAACATAAATTCTTATAATTTATATAATTAGTAGAAATTGCATTACTAGAGTTTATTACTATCCAAATATTACATATAATAATATAAATTTATAATTTATACATTAGGACATGTTCTGCAGTTGTGACTAGTTTGTTGGCATAGGCCACATTGTCTTTGCCGCTTTTCAACAACTTGAATGCAGATGAATCCCTTTGTGTCAAGCTTTGGCTTCAATTTTTTGCCCCAACTGGTCTTTCACGTACTTTACTAATGATTAGATTTTTTGGAATAGCAGGTGAACTTTGCAGCAACTCTTCAAATTGTGAATAAGCAACAGCTTGCTAGTATGGTGACCATAGTTGTGAAATTTGACTGCAAAAGAGATTGGAGATTCTTATTATTATTACTTATAGAGTAAATAAGTTCAAGAAATTCCAGGTAGCAACCTTGAATCTACCAGTGTTCATGGAAATCAATTTTTTGTAATATTTGCCCAGTTGCCAAACGTTTTCTAATCACATGTGAACATGGAATTCTCATCATGGATCTCAAAATTCCTGTATATGGCTTTAGAGGTGTGTCTGAAGTTGTATTAATGCCTTAATAAATTCATCATAAGTTTTTTTTAAGGCAAAAACTGATATGTAGTACAAGAGAGATTCAAACAAAGCAATCCAGTACATATGTTGTATTCTTATGCGCTCAGAGGAAATTGCTGCACAAATTTCTTTGGCTTGAGTTTCTACTTGCAATACAATTTTATAACACACCGAATCAAGATCATCTGTGGATATTTGTAAACATCTGAAACCAAATATTGTTATATTATTGTGATTGTAATTAGTAATGTGATCAAAATCTGAATATTACTTTTTAATTTGGTTTAATATAATTACTTACTTTTTAAGTGTAGCATATATGCCTTCTACTTATAATGTCACTTTGTTACCAAGATGTAGGTAACAATCAACCTAGGTATAAATAAAACACTTTTTATGAGGGATTCAAGTTTTTTCAAGATATTGCAAAACATTGGGTTGATTTTTATAATATTCCAAAAACATATTCCACTGAGCTATAAAATTTTGTTTAGTAGCGAATACTATAACCCTTTGCTACTTTGATATAAATTTGATCCAAAGTTTTTCAGTAGTAAAATAGCGTTTATATTTTGCCATAATGTTCTTGTTTATATACCACACACACAAAATATAGTGAGTGTTAGAAAAGACTTGATCGATGGCCTTTATTAATACCAATTCTCTTTCAGTAAGAATAACACGAAGATAGGATATTTCATCAAAGAGTTTTGAAACACAGCTTAAAGCCCATTCATAATTCTCTTCCGTTTCATCTCTCAAAAAGACAGAGCAAGAAAGAAATGTTGTATTGAAACCTGACATACTAACAACATTTAATAAGAGCATTCTATACTTATTTGTTTTATAGGTAGTATCTATAAGTAGCACAATCAGATAGGCATGAGTTAAAGCGACAGAAATTTTATATGCAAAAAAAAGGCATTTGATGTGATTTTGGCTATCACATTGATATTCAAACTCAAAATTCGATTTATGCAATTCATCAATAAGGGCTTGAATTGGAGTTTGACTATTAAGTCTTTCTTGATGAATAGAATTTAAAGTATTATATATCATCTGAGATATGGCTATTGAAGAAGAATTATTTTGTTGAATGCTTGATAAAATTTGACGAAGATGTGAACTTGCAGCAGACATCTGCTGAACTTGATCTCTTTGTTCAGGATCTAACCTCGAATGATTGAGTGACCAGACATATTTGTTGATGCTCCATAGTTGTGTTCAGAGTTACGAATCTCAATAAACCAAGAGTTATTATGTCTAACTCCATAAAGTTCAAATGGATAACCTAAAAGTCTTGAAGCTATTTGTTTATAGCATGAATTGTCAGTCAAATTCAATCTATTTCTATAAACTCCACCTTTATCACAACTCAATGTCATATTCTTGATTACTCTATTTGAATTAGATCATGATCTTTTGATAAATATAGTATATCCTTGAGTCATAGCAAAGCTTTGAATATGGGTAAGAAGTTCTTCATGACTTCCAAATGGTCCGAGTGAAGGTGGAAGCATAATTAAGTGAAAGAAACTATATTAAGGTAAAAAAAAATATATGATCTGAATTTGATGTAATTTTATAATTAAAAGTATAATGGCAAGAAAACCAGATTTCGCTTATATAAAATATATAAAACGTGTACATACTATATTATGATGAGTGATACAGATTTACAACTCAATATTTAGAGAACAGTTTATATAAATATTAGAATTTATAAACAAGTCTATAAGTTTATTGAAATTTATACTATAGTATATATGTAGCTTCGTTTTTGTTCTTCAAGAAAGTTTTTTTTTTAAGAGAAAGAAAAACGGTTTATTTTTGTTTTTACTATCCTATATACAGTATACTAATTATTTCATTTTTATGTCATGTATTAGGCCATACAAATTTATACTATTGGTTTTCATATCACCAAGTAACTTCTTGTGACCCGGCGGTCCAGCTTTTAATTTTATTTTCAAAAAATTTTATATGTAAAAAACATAAAATTTTTTTACAAAAATTTAAAAAAGTTTACCTGGATAATAAGTATAGTAAAAAATTTTTTTCAACCTTTTGTTGAATTTGACCCGGCCGGGTTATGAGAACTAATAGTATAAGTTTGTGTGGCCTTATATACATACATACATTAATCTTCATGACCAATGCACGAGTGTTGATTGCAAAGCATTATATGGGCAGCCGTCAATAGAAATCAAGCAGATCTACTTTTGAAAAAAATTAATTACTTACTTTTATAGCTTGTATTTTAATTATTTAATATTCAAAAAGAAAGCTTATAATAAAGCTTTTTCGAATATTAAAATAGCTTTAAAATTAATAGAGATATGAGCTGTAAAAGTTAAAGAATTGATTTTTTTTAAATGTAGATCCGCTTGACAGCTGCCCATATTATTCTAATTTGAAGTAAGTTAAAGTATTAGTTTAATTAGTTTATTGAAGGAAAAATTTTCTGAATAACTTTAGAGTAATCGAACTTACTACATTAAAGGTATCTTTATTTATTAAGAATTTATATAATTTTTTTAAACCGTGATTCCAATTTATTAAGCATTCTAGTTTAATTATTAATTATCAACCAAAATTAGATTATATAGATTATATAAGATAATACAGCACAGTTTTATATGTCTGGTTGAATTAGTTTCTATTCCTTTTTCATAGAAAAATTTGACTACTGAGAGGATAAAGAGCCAGAGAAGGAAAATTTAATTTCAGATAGTTTTTAGAAATTTGTAGCATAATATTAAGATAGTGTTTTTCTTTTGTTTGATTAGAGTTATTAGTTTTTTTTTTCCTTTTACTTAGTATAAAAGTAAGCTAAGGCAAGTCTGGAAACAATGCCAATAGCAAGATAAGCGAAGTTTTACAATGGTTACAATAGTACAGCCCTTTATTTTTATGTAGTAATCTTGTAAGTACATTACACTTTATATATTTACGAATTTTAATTATAGCTCTTATATATCTTATGGTATTTAGAGAATATAGCTAAAAACTGCAAATTTTAAATTATCATCAAACTCCATTATTAATATAATAAAAAGCCTGATGGCTATAGCTTTGATATAATTCTTTGGAAATTTTTAAATAAAAGACTCGGAGATTTACATATTATTTGTATATTTTAAGAAAAATTGATAAAATTCTATATTAATTTCTTTAAATATACAAAATTATTATGTATTTAATATACAGTATGTATAGCGATATATAGTATATATTACACGAAGATAGATATTACACATAATGTGCATGATGATCAGCAAACTATTATATTATCGACCATATGACCTGGTTCGGAAGCCGGTTCTGACCATGGGGGTGGCATTAACAAATTAGAAGGGTGGAAATAGTAATTCCCTATATATATTGTAATTTTAAATGATAAAAATAAATATATTATATTTTAAATAAATTTTTTTTAATTTTAATTAATAATAATTTTTATATAAAATTGTTATATAAATTTTTAAAATTTATACCTTTTGATCCACTTAACCAATTTTGATGATTTAACTACCAAAATAATCCTCTTTGTGAGCAGATTCTAATGAACTCAAAACTATTAAATTCTGATTATGTGATTACGAGATCAGTAAAGTTTTGTATTATATTAATTATATAATATAAATCTTTATCAATCTCATTATTACACAATCAGAATTTAATAATTCTAAGTTTATTAGAATTCATTCACAAAGAGAAACATTTTGGTAGTTAAATCATCAAAATTGGTTCAGTAAATTAAAAGTTGTGAATTTTTAAAGATTTATATAATAATTATCTAAAGCATAGCTAAGGACACTATACTTCTAGATATTTGAAATTTGTCATATTCTATAATGGTGTTTGTCATAGTATGTAATTACCCAATAGAAATTCAAAATCTGTACTATATACTATGATCTGAGTACTACTATATTAAGTTATGCTAAATCATAACAGAAATCATGACTATTAATTACAATTAATAATCAAATATATGTACTAAAATAGAATTAGTATCATAAAACTTGCAACTGTTGGTTTCAATACAAACTAATTGTCAATAAATTCTTTAAATTTATACAAGAAGTTATTAAGTAAAGTTATCTTCAAGATCTAAATAAAGTTGTAGAAGAGATAATTCTTGAGATATCTTGGGTTAAAGGCGCGAATATAAGGATCAGCAAAGTTACTATTACACAAAGTATTGATTTTGTTAATCCTTATATTTAAATCTTTAATCCTATATATCTTGATAACTACTAGCCCGATTTTGATAATTTAACCACCATTTGACTCAGAATTATCTTCTCTACAATTTTATTTAGACTTTGAAGATATCTTTACTTAATAACTTATCATATAAACTTAAAGAAACTATAATCAGATTCAATTTGGGTTCAAGGTAGACCTACTTTGAGTTCAATATAATCTACTTTGGGCTTAAAATATACAAAAAGCAATTTTTTATAATTATTTTTGCAACTAGCAATCCAATTTGGATAAACTTTTTTTTAAATAAAAGCTCTCAGTAATATGCATCCAATAAAAAAGAGCTTTTTTAATTCTATTTACTAAAATCCAAAATATTTAAGAAACAATAAATTTTTAGTTTTAATAAATTAAATTAAAATTAATTGATGATCCGCCAGTCATCTGGAGAAATTTTTGACAGAGATCATATATATAAAAGTTCAAATTAATAATTTCAGGTTATAAGTAAAGTTAATAAATTTTCGACAAATATTTATTTTAAAGTAGCATGAATAATAAAGTAATACTATATGATTTTAACATTAAAACCACAAAGCACCAAAGTTTTTTGTTAAGAAGTTTACTTTGGATGCATGCGGCATTTACTATGTTAT